GTGCAGAAGGAAAGTGGGAAAACTAGTTTGTGTCCCCAAGAATGTGGTGGGGATGCAGAAGACACCAGGAGGTTGGCTCCAAGTTTCTGATCAGGATGTTGAGATGGATGAGCACATGATGTTACCTTGACCATAAAAGGACTGAGTGGGAGAAGATGAGTTCATGCTTGGACAGGCAGAGTTGGCAAGTAGGCCTTCACCACTAGGTAGAAGTTAAAGACAGCCATGTCAGGTCAACCTCAACAAGAACTGAGGTCTAATATCTAGAACTGCCTGGGAACCATGATGGCTTTGAGTCCTAGCAGAGATTGGCTTCTCATTTGTGGTCACATGGGCAATGGGAATTTGGCAGTAGGTGACAGGCAGGAAGGTAGGGCCTCTGATGTTTCCCAACTCCAGCATTGTGTGATTCTCTGTGAATGTATCTGAGTAGTGGGATGTACGCCTGGGATGTGACAGAGAGGTCTGAAAGGGACAAAATTATTGAAACCGGCATCTAAAAACTTACAAATTAGGGCAATCTTCTTCTTTTTTTTTTTCTTTCATTCTTCTTCTTCTTCTTCTTCTTCTTCTTCTTCTTCTTCTTCCTCCTCCTCCTCCTCCTCCTCCTCCTCCTCCTCCTCCTCCTCCTCCTCCTCCTCCTCCTCCTCCTCCTCCTCCTCTTCTTCTTCTTCTTCTTCTTCTTCTTCACAAGTAAGCTGACTGCTTGATAGGTGGCAAGTACAGAATCTGATTGTGAGGCTTGGACTGTCCATAAACTTTAGTGTTCCATCCTAATTTTATAATTAGGGTCCTACAACACCTTGCAGAATGATTGTGGAGCTCAAATGAAATGATAATTTGCAAGATGTCCAGTTCACTGCCTGGTCCACCATAGATACATAATAAACGTTAGCGCCTCCCTGCTTTTTCTTCTTGTCTGAGCGGGACTTAGCACCCAGGAGGGTATCTTGCCACCTTCTTTAGGATAACAGAGTCTTCCTGGCCTGTGCCTGGTTTAGGTTGAAAGACATTGCTTCTGGGTCATGGCTCTTATTTTATAACGGACTGATTAAAGCCCAGAAGGGTAATGTCATCCATGTGAGGTCACACAGTGTCCAGAGCCAGGCCCACAGCACATAGTGTTGGCTCTGGTGGGTTTCTACCCGCCTGTTGAGTCACAAGTGATGCTTAGAAGAACTCCTAGCTAAGACAGAACAATCTCCTCTCTCTTCCCCCAGCTCCATGGTAAAGCGAAATGAAAAGACTCATTGTTCCATCGGGGGAGAAAAATTGCTGAAACAAAAGTCATAGCCTTTGTATTATTTTAAAATATTCTTTCCATGTGCACAAAACGCTTCATGGAATCTGTTCAGATTGAATTAACCTCTATTTCTCAGAACAATTCTTCTCATGTGCTCATCTTTGAAAGGAACTGTTCTCCAACATTATTCTGTTTTCCAGTTAGAGATGGCTCCTGTTCTTCAAGTGCTGACAGCTGTGAATGCCAAATGGTGACAACCTTAGAGATGTATGCATGCACTGGCTTGTTTTTCTCTTGTTTCCCTACCATTATATTTTTAAGGAAAACCTGTCTTGTCTGATAATAATATTACCATATTTGTTTTATGTTAGCAACGTTTTTTTCTTTTTTGGAAGGGGGTGGGGGAACCAGGGATTGAACTCAGCGTTAAACCACTAAGCCACATCCCTAGTGCCCTTTTTTGGGGGTGGCTACTAGGGATTGAACTCAGGGATACTCAACCTCTGAGCCAGAGCCCCAGCCCTATTTTGTATTTTATTTAGAGACAGGATCTCGCCAAGTTGCTCAGGACCTTGCTAAGTTGCTGAGGCTGGCTTTGAATTTTTGATTCTTCTGCCTCAGCCTCCCGAGCCACTGGGATTATAGGTCTGTGCCACCAGCCTGGTGTTAGTTGGTGGCCCAGACCTATAATTAAAATTCATCAATTTTAAGTGTACAGATTCATGGGTTTGGATGAATGTCTAGCTCCACCATGATCACAGTGTAAACATTTCTATCTTCTCCCCAGAGTCCCTCACATCGGATCTCCTTTCGGCATGCCTGTCAGGGAACCCTGACCTGCCTTTTGTCCTGCAGTCCTGCCCTTGATTACATGTCATATAGATAGAATCTTTCCATATGTAATCCTTTTGTGTCTGGCTCTTTCACTCAGCGTAATTGTTTCTAGATTCACCCAGTAGATCATTCCTTGAATTGCTGTGAAGGATTCCATTGTGTGCACGTGCTATACTTTGTTGAACTGTCGATGGACTTTTGGATTGTTTTTAGTTTTTAGCTTTTACAATTAAAGCTTCTGTGAGCTTCTGAGTACAAGTGTTTGTGGGAATGTGTAGTCTTATCTTTTGGGTAAATACCTAGGATCAGGGTTGCTGGTGGGGACAAAACATCTGGTTTGCCTCAGACTTAGTATTTCTCAGGGTGTGGGAATTTTCAGTGCTAAAGCAGGGCTAGTCCTGGGTGAACAGGGACAGTGGGTTACCCTGTGTCATTTGGCAAGGTTATGTTTAACCTTACAAGGAGTTGCTGAATTCTTTTTTTTTTGCTATTGGATTTGTTGTGGCAACTTATTATGGTTTTAATTTTTTTTTTAATGACTAAGAGTCTCGAACATTTTTATATGTTTGTTATCCAAATGTCTTCCTTGGCCGGGTGCAGTGGCACACGCCTATAATCCCAGTGGCTTGGTAGACTGAAGGAGGATCACAAGTTCAAAACCAGCCTCAGCAATTAGCAAGGCTCTAAGCAACTTAGTGAGACCCCATCTCAAAATAAAAAACAGGCTGGGGATGTGGCTCAGTGGTTAAGAGCCCTTGGGTTCAATACTTGTTCCAAAACAAACAAACAAACAACCACCCACAAGTATATTTTTTGGTAATAGGACTCTTCAAACCTTTTGTACCTTTTTAAGTGGGTTGTTTGTCTTTTTTCTTTTTCAGTTATAAGAATCTATACAGTTTGGATATAAATAATTTATCAGATATATGTTTTGCAGATATAATCTACCAGTTTTTGGCTTGCCATGCCATTGCATTGTGAAAGCAGAGTTTTAAATGTTTTTCAGGTAAAATGTGTGTGTGTGTGTGTATGTGTGTGTGTGTGTGTGTGTTTGTTGTTGTTGGGTTTTTTTTTTTTTTTGGTGTTGGGGATTGAACCCAGGATTTTGTGCATGTGAGGCAAGCACTCTACCAACTGAGCTATATCCCCAGCCCTAAAATGTATATTTTAAAGTTATGAATTTTGTGTTATATTTTATTATAAGAATATTCATAAGTAATCATAAAAGTTAATTTAATGATCATGAAATGACTTGATATGACAAACTTAACAATGTATACTTCCTATTAATTGGTTTTCATGCAGAATGATGTGATAATGATGACGATAATAATAATAGTAAATAGCTAACACTTATTCCACATGTACTATGTGTTAGGCACTGGCTTCAGTGGTATATATGTACAACCAGGAGCAAGGAGGAGCAATAGTCCTGGAAATGACTTCAAAGTACAGTTGTATCAGGAAGGAAGAGGGCCTTGAGAGTATGTTGGATACATTTTGGACGAGTAAACATGGACTTTGTATTTGCTTCATTTAGAGGAAAGGGAATGGCATGAAAATAATAAATCACATATTAATGATGTCACACACAGCATCATATAAAATCAGGTCACAAATGCCAAAGATATTTAAAAGTAAATAATAGGTTTAAGATTAGAGAAAGAGGCAGAATATTCTAAGTTTTCTTCCTTTTCTCAGAATCTTGGAGTTAAGGGATCTATCTGGCAGAGAGTAAGTTGTTCAAGGGGGTGGGAAGTAGTTACCCATAAGGAGTAAGTGCACTCCGGTTTCACTCCACAATGAGGCATGTGACTGCGAAGGAGTGACTTTTCTGAGTTACTGTAATAATTAAATCACTTAGTACTTTTAAAGCACTTGGCCCAGTGCCTGGCACATAGTAAGTGCTGAATAAACATTCCCTATTCTTAATAGAATGCAAATGCATAGTATAAAGTGAGCTGACTTCATACAGCAAGTGTGAAAAATGGTGGGACTTTGAGAGTCCACAGGCCATTACCAGGTCAGTTCCTGAAAGCAACTGGCTGGACAACTTGCTGAATTATTCAGTATTTTTTGTGAAGTTTTGGGAACTGGTCTTTGCCCCACCCCTGTCTCTGACAGTGAAACAGCTATGGCCTTTTAATGAATTGCCCTCTGGGGATTTGACTCACATCTACTTGAGTTTTCTGCTGATCAATGCATTGGCATATTGGCCTGCTCACCCTGGGCTTGAGTCTGGGCTCTGACCCTTGCTAACTGTTTGTGACCTTCGGCAAGCTACTTAACCACCCTGAGCCTTAGGGGGATTTGGGATGAATATTAGTTAGTTGAGTGAGCTAATAGATGTAAAGTATTTAGAATAGTGCCTGGCACATGGACTCAGTCTAGTGCAGAGTCCAAGCCCTTAATCACTGTATCATGTTCCCTCTTAGTAAGTGTATGTGGGAGGCAGGGAGGCAGAGAGGCCTATTGGCCATGTGATGCTACATTTTGTCAGCTACCTGTGCATTTCTTGGGAAATTTATGTATATTAATTATGCCATCTACTATTAATCTACTGAAGGAATAGTGTTAATTAGAATTTTCAATTTTTCCAAACTAAGATACAGAATGGGCCTATGACTGGTGGATAACAAACTTAATGGATTGAAAATCCTTCAGGATAGGTTTTTTCCCCCTTCCAGTTTTCCATTCCATCTTTTGGTGACCTAAAAATTCCCACTGGGCATGCTCTGCTCAGAGTATTTAAGAACCTACCAATGAGGGCTACTCAAGTTCTAAACCACCTAACACACAAATGGCATTCTGAATGCAAGTGGTGTGTCTGGGACCTGAAAAGGCAGGGTGGGGGTTTGTAGCACCCAGAGTTCAGGAACACCCGGAAATCTCACCCATCCCTCTCTCCTGTCATGTGTCACAGCCTTGCTCTTCTTCCTCCTCTTGAAAATGGAGTCCATGCTGGTGGGCTGCGTGCTGCTTCTCCTGGGACAGAACCTCTTCCTCTCATCTGCGGCCAGAGAGCGTCCACACACTAGGTCCTTCTCCCGGGGCAGACATGCTCGGACCCACCCCCAGACGGCCCTCCTGGGTGAGTGACAGAACCACAGGTTGAGGGAGGGCCCTGGACCTGGGATGGGGTCTCTGGAGCTTTTCTGTCCCTGGGTCCTCTCTTGCCTGTGCTGGGGGAAGGGGAATCTCAGTGCTGTTGAGAGCAGCCAGAGTTGATGGTGTGGTAGCAGGTTTTCAAAATATGATTACACCTCTCTAAAGTCTTCAGTTTAATCTGAGGCTCAGGACTTTTCTCTAATACACAGGGCAAGATTTTTCACCGAAAATGTTCTTGTTGGACTTATCTGGACAACAGTTTTCTGAGAATTTTTTTTTTATTAGACTTTTCCAGATAAATCTGTGAATGATGCTTCCATCCATGGTGGCATAGGGAAAAGCAGACACACAGGAGAGATGGGCTTATGAGCTCAATCCAGACATTCAGAATGAAGAACATCATGCTTGATTATTTCCACCCAGTGAACATGTTTTCTTCAGGAAAAAGGAAATGTCCTGAAATGGACAGAACTTAAATTGGCTGCTCTCAGCATGGGGGCCAGGGTGCCCAGGATATGGAGGTAATAGGCAGGTCGGCCAATGGAAAGAACTGGTTTTGGTATAGACCTGGGTTCAAGTCCTGCCTCTGCTGCTTATCAGGTGTGATACTTGGGATGTGTAACTTTTCTCAGGCTCAGTTTTCTCATTTACAAAATGGAAACTTGAATGCCAACCTTGGAACATTGGCAGGAGGATTGCAAGTTCACTGTTCATTTTTGTGAAGAGTGAATTAGGGAATATACGCAAACTGTAAGCATGCAGCAAATGATGGCTTTATCAGAGCTTTCAGTCCATGAAGATCTTTGAAGCTGTACTTCACATGTATAGCTTCTTGGCCAGTCATTAGAGTCAGACACCCATGAAGGATACTTAGGGAACTGTCCTGCAACCTGGTAACCTCAGCATCCAAAATTACAATCAGGGACTAAAGGGATCACAGGGCCTTGTTTTGAGAGGTCAGAATCTTTACTGACACTGACTAAATAATAACCCCAGTGATTCTAGGTCCTTCATGTCTCCCATCTGTTGAACATCCCTCTTCCAAAGTGATATAAATATAATACTTCTGCACATGGGAAAAGGACTTGGGGATGCTTAATACATTGATTTAAGGGTTTTTTAAAAGCAAATTTCAAGTCAGGTGCACTGGCACATGACTGTAATCTCAGTGACTGGGGAGGCTAAGGCAAGAAGATTGAAAGTTCAAGGCCAGCCTCAGCAATTTAGGGAGGCCCTAAGCAATTCAGCTAGACCCTGTCTCAAAATTAATAAGAAAAAAAACAGGGCTGGATGGGGGCTGGGGTTGTGGCTCAGTGGTAGAATGCTTGCTTAGCCTATGTGAGACACTGGGTTCGATCCTCAGCACCACATATTAATAAATAAAATAAAGGTCCACTGACAACTAAAAAAAAAAATGCTAGGGATGTGATTCAGTGGTAAGGCAGCCCTGGGCTCAATCTTCAATCCAAAAAGAAAATTTCAAGATGATACATACATACATATATATATATATATATATATATATATATATATATATATATATAACTGAAAAAAAATGTTGATAGATTCCTAAATTCCCAGCACTGATTGTGCAGTTGCATTTCTTATGGAGCTGCTCTCTGGATCTCTGTCACTCACACACACACACACACACACACACATACACATGGCTTCTGAGATTTGAGGCAGAAGCTTGTTTTGCCAAAGGCATTGATCCCACATCCAGCACTGCCTCCTTTTCCTCATTTTTCTGGGGAATGTGTCAAGGATAGTGAGGAGGACTTCAGGTTCTTTGCTTGTACATGTGTGTCTGAAAGTTTAACAGTAGAAATGGCAGAATTGTTTCTTAGGTTCAATTTTTTTGGTTTTTTAAAAATGTTTCTACTTATGCCTAATTTCAAATCAGAGTCTTAGTAACGACTTGAGCCAATTTAAAAACAAACAAAAAAGCATGTTTCTATCAGCCACTCACCCAGCAGCCTGTGCAGTCTGTCCGCATGGGCTTCTTTTACCTCGTTCGTTCATCTGCCAGACATGGGGGTGGTGTGCGGTGGAAACTTTAAGACGAATCGCCGCCACTAGGAAGTACACAAGGTAGTGAAGGAGACAGGCATCTAAAAAGATCATTAATTTGGTGGAATCAGCGTGCAGGAGTAGGGACATATCCAAGTGACAGCTCCACTCTGCCTGCTGAGGCTGCTCAGTATAAGGCAGGGACTCTCCAGCTTTTTGATGTCAGGATCCTTCCTGTACACTTGAAAATTATTGAGGATCCCAAAGAGCTTTTTTTTTTTCTCCTGAGGATTGAACCCAGGGGCACTTAATCACTGAGCCACATCCCCAGCCTTTTTTATATTTTATTTCGAGACAGCATTTTACTAAGTTGCTTAGGGCCTTTCTAAATTGCTGGTCTGGCCTTGAACTTGTGATTCTCCTGCCTTGGTCTCCAGAGCTGCCCAAAGAGCTTTGTCTGAGTTCGTATCTAGCAAGATTTACTAGACCAGAAATTGAAATGGAGAACTTAAAAAATACTCATTAATTAATTTAAGAATAAAACAATAAGTCTATAGCATGCTAACATGAATTATTTGTATTTTCTGTATGAACTGTATTTTCTCAGTAATAAAGAAATTAGTGAGGGTTGGGGTTGTGGCTCAGTGGTAGAGCGCTCACCTCACATGTGTGAGGCCCTGGGTTCAATCCTCAGCATCACATAAAAATAAATAAATAAATAAAATAAAGGTATTGTGTCCAACTTCAACTAAAAAATAAATATTAAAAAAAAGGAAATTAGTGAGAAGAGTGGCCCTATCTTACAATTTTGTAATTCTGTATCATGTCTGGCTTAATAAAAGAGACCTGGATTCTTATTTCTCATCCATCTGTCATGAAATATTGTATTGGTTGGACTATAGAAAAAATATATGACTTCACACAGATATGGGAGTTGGAAAAAGGAGGAGCATTTTTAATAGCCTTGTCATTTACTTGGGATATTCTTTTTCGATACTACACTAAACTTGTCAAATGTTTTCTTGGAATTGATTGCAATGTAGAATCTAAAACATTTTGTCCCTGTGTACTCATGAGTGAGAATATAAAGGCAAACATTAGTGTTATAGTGAAAGTAGTATGACCTCATGAGTCCTCTGGAAGGATTTTAGGTACACCTAGAGGTCCTCGAACCATACTTTGAAAATGACTGGCTTAAGGGAATTGGTCTGTTCTCTCCCTTCTCCCTTCTCTTTTCCTTTGTAAGCAAAAGCCTTTTTTTTAAAAAATTGATGCATTATAATTATACTTAATAATGGGATTTATTATGGCACTTTCACACATGCCATAACATAATTTGATGTATCTTATTCCTCTGGAGAGGGAATCGTTCCTCTTGAGGGTCATGGCCATGTAAAGCCTGCAGGGATGAGCAGGCCACAGAAGGATGAATGAGGATGGAGCGTGGAGGTGGAACTAGAGTAGGCCCTGGGGATGCTGGGCCATCTGTAAGACAGGGAGTCTGAGCTAGAGATAAGCCTGGAAGAGTCAGGAACTGGTCATTTAGGACATTTGAGGCTCCAACAAAGACCTCAAATCCCATTTTGCAAAAGTGGGAGCCCTGAGGATTACTTATAGCCAACAATGATGTTGATCACTTAAATTCTGCACCCATGTTACCCTTGGGACAGAATCAACCTTTCTGGGCCTTGGCAAAGGGCAGGACCTAACTAGCCCATCTAACTAGAAAATGCTACTAGAGCAGGGCTCTCAGGCCAACAGGAGGATGAACAAGTACATTCTCCATCCCAAAGTCCCTTCCAGGTGAGGGCACTGGCAGGTAGAGTTGGATCAGCAGGCTGTGCTGTTCCCAGCACCTTGGGATTCCTCCTCACTTGCCCCATCTTTGGCAGGGGCACACATGTCCCCTTCCAAGCTCCTCCCTAAACCCTTCCTAGGGCTGCCAACTGCAAGACATGTGGTCCCACTAGTAATTATTGCCTGTGTCATTTGTGCACATTTTATTCTCTTTGTTACATCACTGTCATTTGGGGGTGGACCTGTTCCCAGGGCAACCACTGGGACATATCAGCATTTGGGAAAACAATCCTCCTTCCTCAAACACCCACTGTATTCTTTTTTTCTTTTTCTTTTTTAGTTGTAATTGAACACAATACCCTTATTTCACTAATTTATTTTTTGTATGTGATGCTGAGAATCGAATCCAGGGTCTCACACGTGCAAGGCAAGCGCTCTACTGCTGTGCCACAACCCTAGCCCTACCCACTGTATTCTTAACTCCCCTTATTCCTAAGACTGAGAGTACACAGGCCACTCTGTCCTTCTGTCAGCTTGCTCTCCTGGTTGTCTCTCTTACCAGGTCTTATTGATATGCACTTTCTTTTCTAAAGTTACCACTTCACTTATTTTATTTCTATGAACTTTGAGGCCTTTTCCTTCCCCTATAATAGAGTCCCCTTCGGATCAATACTACCCAGTCAGAATTCATATTTTGTGTTGTATGAGAGCACTTTGTGGCAATATGGCAGTAGATTCGAGAAATGGGCGGGAAAGATTTAAAAGGAATCTGGCCCCATAGTCTGGTCAGGGGATGGTGAGAGTGGAGGCCTACTGCATGCACGCATGTGTGTGCATACACACACACACACACAAGGCTGGGAAAAATTGTAGAGGTGTTCAGGGAAGAGGCAACAGAATTTAGTGAAACTTTTTCATAATTGCTAATTCATCATTTTAAAATGGGGTGAATGAAGAAAATCTAAGAATTTACCGTATACAGCCCCCAGTTCTGCTCTTTGGAAATCACAGTACGTTATCAAACACTTGTTTCCATTTGTGCATATATGTGTAATTAAACCCAACATCAATATATTAGTAAAATTTTGATACATTGCACCTGAGGCTTTGAGGTGCCCTTTGAAATCTCCTAAATTAGCAACGTAATGGGAGGAGTTGTCTGGCTGGAGAATT